AAAGTTCAAAAATACGCTTTTTGTAAGTATTTGGATTTAGATATATCATTGTTTTTGCCCATTAACCTTTTCCACTCGGATGCCGCCGCTCCGAGGCAAAATACATATAAATCTCTCGCATTTCGCGAGTGGAAAGGGTTAAGAATATTGTTTGCATAATTTTTTCTGTAATAGATAGAAATATTTTAAATAAATAATAATAAACATTATTACCTTTCCTGATCAGTTGTTGGAGCATTTGAAGCAGGAGCTGGTCTAGGTGGTGCCATACTTGTTGGAGGAGGTCTTGTTGGCATGATACCTTCAAAAATAAACAATTATATAATAATAATAATGGGTAGTACTGTCAAAGCCTGGTCCAGGAGCTGAGTTAAACTCCAATTCAGGGAAGAATAGCATGGGAGATTTTCCATTGCCATTTCACATAGCAGTGCCTGTCTGGAAAGTCTATTTTAATTGGAACTTATTTTAGATCTATATTTTCAGGTGAAAATTTATATCACTACTGCATGAAATCAGAATATATCCAGTGCAGGGGTTAAAACTCATTACCCTTTCCATACCAGGCAGTGCTACCCATTAAACACCTAGATATATCCAGAAATAGCAATTTCTACTCCTATTTTTGTTATCAATTTGGAAGCATTTGAGCCCCTGAGAGCAGAAAAATTCAAAAACATCCATACTAAGGACCACCCTAATATATAAATCATCTAAATTTTTTCCCCTTACCTCTAGCTAATCGTGGATCATTCCTGGCAACTTCAGGAGGACGAGATCTAGGGTCACTTGGTGCAGCAGTACTACAAACCAGAATATTGTTAATGAATTTTATTTATTGGTATTTTAGAATTGTATCGAATTGATTGACTAACTAACCTTTCTGTTGGTGTCGGTCTTGCTAACATACTCCTCATATCCTGGTCACCACTAGGCTGGTTGCTACGCAACATTCTTGGATCTGATGCACGAAAATCTGTATCTGAATATTTATAATATCTTATTGATTACATAATAGAGATGAATTTAAGTGGGAATTTGACGTAATGGTGATCACGATATTAATTAATTTAAATCCTGGTTTTATTTCTGGTGCTATTTGTGGGGCAAGAAGTTTTTAATTTGTTTTCAAATGTAAATGTACTGGTTGGTGGTTTGATAATAAAGTTTATTAAAACGTATAATGCATTTTAATCTTTAATCAAAAAATAAACTAGGTGTAAGTGGCATGTTGCCTTAAGGCAAGTTGCATTGGACATCTGAATATGTGTGAATGATGATTAAATCAAAAGGAACTGATATTTAGCAAATATTTAATTATTCCAATCAATATTGAATTTCAACTATTTAATTATTATATTTTATAATTACACCACTTTTTGTAGGCCTATTTTTTTTTTTCTTTCCTTATAGAAAACAAATTTTTCCTTCGGGGTTTTTACTTATCAAGTTTGAAAAAGATAAATACATATAGATAATTTTAATGTTGGAAAGTGAATTCTAGATAATATACATAGATAAACAAGTATAAATAATATATTAAATTAATTACTATTAACTTTGTTAATATTATATTGAATAATAACTATTAATTTTGTTTTGTTTGTATTCCTCCTAAGCTTGGTATTTAATATGATACACTATCGTTAATCATATTTTAATAAAGTTTTATAGATAATTTTATCTATTTTTCATCTTTCCAAGATTTGCATTATCTATTTAAAAGTAAAAACTAAAAAATTGCACTTACATTTTTTATATCAACATAGAACACCGAAATTATTAAATTGAGTTTCATTAATTATTAATATTGCAATAAAACTTTAGAGATAAATATGTTTTATCCAGAGATAAGGAAAATTTTATCTATTTTTCATTTTTTTAAGACCACATTCATCTATTTTAAAGTAAAAACAAAAAAATTGCACCTACATTTTTTATATCAACATGGGACAAGGATATTATAAATTGAGTTTCATTAATTTTTAATATTGCAATAAAACTTTAGAGATAAATATGTTTTATCCATAGATAAGGAAACTTTTATCTATTTTTCATCTTTTTAAGACCACATTCATCTATTTTAAAGTAAAAACAAAAAAAAATGCACCTACATTTTTTATGTCAACATGGGACAAGGATATTATAAATTGAGTTTCATCAATTATTAATATTGCAGAAAATTTTATAGATAAATATGTTTAGTATCATTTTGTAGATATTTTCAACTAGATTTCATCTTTCTAAGATAACGTTCATCTATGTTTATCTATTCAAAAGATTCATAACAAAAACTGAAAAAATGCACCTACATTTTTTGTATCATGTATTGTAGATAATTTCAACTACATTTCATATTTCTGGTGCATATTCTGGTTCATATTTCTGGTTATGAACGTTATCATCTATGTTTATCTATTTAATCGATGCATAATAAAAACTAAAAAATTGCACCTACATTTTTATATCAACATGGGGGATACTAAAATTATAAATTGAAGTTTAATTGATTATTAATATCGCAATAAATTTTAGATAAATATGTTTGGCATCGTGTTGTAGATAATTTTAACTAGTTTTCATCTTTCTAAGATAAGGTAAACTAAAAAATTGCACCTACATTTTTTATATCAAGATGGGACAAGGATATTATAAATTGAGTTTCATTAATTAATATTGCAGTAAAATTTTATAGATAAATATGTTGTAGATTATTTTAACTAGTTTTCATCTTTCTAAGATAACGTTTATCTATATGTTTATCTATTCAAAAGATGTATAACAAAAACTTAAAAAAATGCACCTACATTTTTCGTATCCCGATATTATAAATTGGGGTTTAATTAATTATTAATAATACCATAATAAAAACTTTATAGATAAATATGTTTGGCATAATGTTGTAGATAATTTTAACTACATTTCATCTTTCTAAGATAACGTTCATCTATGTTTATCTATTTAAAAGATGCATAATAAAAGCTAAAAATTTGCACCTACAATTTTCGTAACATGGGACAGTAGAATTATAAATTGAAGTTTAATTAATTATTAATATTTCAATAAAAATTTATAGATAAATATGTTTGGCATCATGTTGTAGATAATTTTAACTAGTTTTCATCTTTCTAAGATAACGTTCATCTATGCTTATCTATTTAAAAGGTGCATAACAAAAACTAAAAAAATGCACCTACATTCTTTGTATCCCGATATTATAAATTGAGGTTTAATTAATTATCAATAATACCATAATCAAAACTTTATAGATAAATATGTTTGGCATCATGTAGATAATTTTAACTAGTTTTCATCTTTCTAAGATAACGTAAACTAAAAAATTGCACCTAAATTTTTTGTATCCCGATATTATACATTGAGGTTTAATTAATTACAAATAATACTATAACAAAAATTTTGTAGATAAATACGTTTGACATCGTGTTGTAGATAATTTTAACTAGTTTTCATCTTTCTAAGATAACGGTCATCTATGTTTAAATATTCAAAAGATGCATAACGAAAACTAAAAAATGCACCTACATTTTTATATCCCGATATTATAAATTGTGGTTTAATTAATTATCAATAATACCATAAAAACTTTATAGATAAATATGTTTGGCATCGTGTTATTGATAATTTTAGCTAGTTTTCATCTTTCTAAGATAACGTTCATCTATGTTTATCAATTTAAAAGATGCATAATAAAAACTAAAAAAAATTGCAACTATAGTAACATGGGACACTGATTAATTGCAGTTTAATTAATTAACAATAATAATATAACAAAAACTTTATAGATATAAATATGTTTGATACTGTGTTGTAGATAATCTTATCTAGTTTTTATTTTTAAAAGGCCTTCATACATAATAAAAACTAAAAAGTTGTAGCCACATCATGGAAATTGATATTATAAATTGAAGTTTGATTAATATTTAATAATATAATAATGGGTCATTATGTTGTAGATCAATTTATCTAGTTTTTATCTTTGTAAGACCACATTTATCTATTCAAAAGATGCATAATAAAAACTAAATAAATTCAGCAATGATACTGATGTCAATGCGCGCGTTAAGCAAAGACGAAAAATAATTTTTGATAATATAAAACTGGTATAAATAAATTTACTTATTATACTAACAAATCGGATTTTCTGGCACATACTTTATTCAATTTCGGCGTCAAATGATTGAGAATAACTTGAAAGGTCTTTCAGAGTATTGATAAAAATGTTGTGAAATAGTAAGTACCGAATTTAAAAATTATAACAACAAATTGGATCTTTTGGCAAAAATAAACATATATACTTTATTTATATATGTATAGAAGTTATAATTTCGGTGATAAACGATTCATAATGACTTCAAACGTGCTTGAAATGTTAATAACAGTTTTATAAAATAGTTACTACCAATTGATATGGATTGAAAAAGTTCTAACTAAAAAAAACTATTAAATCTTTGTGATATAATTTGGTATAAATAAAGATTAAATAATCATAATTAAATTAATTATAATTCCATTACTCTTACCGCTATAAATGTTGGTCTGTGGTGCAGCCACTGCACTAGGCTGCTCCCTCACCACAGGCATAGGCTGTGCCTGTGGCAATTTAATACCACCCATAGGCTGCTGCTGTTTAGCAACCATTGGTGGTTGTTGGTTTGGAACCATCATTGGTTGTTGATTTGGAACCATCACTGGTTGTTTCGGGAACACTACTGGTTGTTTCTGAACAATACTAGGTTGAGGAACTATTTGAGGAGGTGGTACTATGCTGGGTTGGGGCACCATTGTGGGTGCAGGGACAGGCTGAGGTGCAGCCACAGGTCTAGGAGGCGCATTACCACCAAGACCAGGAATCATTACAGGGGCTGGAACTGGTTGGGGTATTATGTTAGGGGTTGGAGCAGTTGGTTGTTGTTGTGTTAAACCAGGTTCTGCTTTTATTGTTGCCTGTGGCATTGATATTGAGGGAGCAGGGACTGTTGCAGGAGCTGATGGAGCAGCTGCTGTCATTGTTGCCTAGATAAAAGAAATATGTTAAGTAATAATTGTACAGTAAAATTGGAATTTGGAGGTTTGATGAATTAGCAAGGATTCTTCTCTACTTACCAAGAAGTCCTTAGGGTCCACGATGTTCAATAATATCTGTGCATGAAGCAAAGCGTATGTTAATTGTGGATTTTTAGCAAGCATGGTCCTTGCTTCGATGGCATTGTTTTGAATGCAACCTTTCATTTGAATCATCAATTCGAACATTTGGCCAGCTGGAAGGCATGCCACAGCTTTGCTAATCGCTGCTGGGGTATCATCTGTCTAAAAAATAATGGAATATATATTAATAATAAATAATATTTAATTAAAATTAAAGATATAAAAATTGGGGTAAATTAATTAGTAAATTAAGTAAGTAAATTAATGGATATCATAAGAGTATGAATTAATAAATACCATATAAGTACTGATACCATAGATAGATTAATCAATTAATATATATATTATTTTGATGATAATTCTTTTTTATGCTACATTTTTAAAGTTTTAATTATGAAATTGCATTTGTAAATTTAGTTAATCATAAAAAAGCATTGCAAATATTTCTTTTTTGTAATTTTATACTTAAATAGATTTTACTTACTTGGTTGCTGCTGTTGAAAACACTTCTACCTGTAAAAATATTTGTGTATCGTAAATCATAAGCTCTACATACTTGAATGGAATTAATCTAATGAATTTAATTATGAGAATAAATAAAATCATTGGTGTAAAATAACAATGAAATTTAATAAGAAAGCATTAATACTTCTTTGCTTCAGACATTTTTACAATAATTAGCCAATATATAAACCATAAATAAACTAGTTGTAAATAATTGTGATAAAATTCAGTGTATATCTGATTTCAAAACTTTATTGAAACTTATTAAGTTAATAAGCTCAAATTCGAAGACTCCAGTAAAAATTTTAATACAAAAATAAATATGTATATATAATTTTAATTAATAAACTATTACGAAAGATATTTTACATATATATATATTTACCAAAATCCATTGTGGCATATATGTTAAAGAAAACACTTTCACAATCACTAAAATATATTTTCTAAATCAAAATAAGTTTAATTCTACTTTCCAATTAATAAATAAATATATTTATATTTAAATATTTGTATATATAAAATTATTTACACAAAAATATATTTCTGTTTGACATTTAAGAAGACATGACACATTAACGATGTGAAGTTAGCTTTAAAAATATACCAGTGTTTCTCAACATGTGTGTAACATAAATATGAATTATTGCTTAAAATTAAATAATAATTATTTAATCAACAAATATTTATTTTTAAAGATAGTAAAATTTGATAATAATCAAGAACAAATAATTATTTTCGTCATATTATTTTAGTTATAGTAATGGGCAGAAAATCGAAAATGAAAATTTTTGCATATCTTAACGTTTTGAAAGTTTCAGAACATTTTGGCATACCTCAGAAAAAATGGATGTATGTGTGTTCAAAAAACATTCGATTCCTATTGATAGGGAGATGTGCTGATTAGTTTTTGGCAAAGGCAGGTCGAGCCGTTAGGGAGATACGTAGCAAAGAGTGCAGAAAATACATAACGAGTTTTCAAGAGAATGAAGTATCCGATTTGAATGATCCAAAAAACATTCAATTTGCAATGATTGGGAGAAGAGGTGATTAGTTTTTGGCAAAGGCAGGTTCAGCCATTTCGAAGATATAGAGGTAAATATTAAAAAAATAACAGTTTGCAGAGAACTAAGCGTCCGATTTGAATGATTCAAAAAACTTTCTGCTTGTTTTAACAAAATAATTGCTTTTGGAAAAAAAAATTGAAATTTGTATATCAAAAATAATTCAGATTTAAATTTTAATTCTGACTAAAGTTCTAATATACTTTAAACAAATAATTTCAGTTTATATATTTCTTATAAATTTTAGACAATGTTACAGTATTTATTAATAATCCACCAAAAGAAGTTCCAACAATTTGCCTTAAGGCACGATTCCATACACCACTAGTTTCTATCAGCAGTCATGTATCAGTTCCTGATTATGTAAATACATTATTGAATACTTATAATTATCCCACTGTGAATCAACATATGTCCTGTCAAGCTATATGAATATATGAATGCCTTCTTGCATATCTTACATTTGTGTGGACGGACACCAATTGGAATTTGCATATGATTATTCAAGACACTTGGATCTGTGAATTTCTTATCACATATTTTGCCTACTGTGAATGAGCATATGTCTTTTCAAGACACTCGATTGTGCAAATGCCTTATCACATATTGTACATTTATTTGGGCGTTCCCCAGTGTGAATGAGCATATGTCTTTTCAAGACACTCGATTGTGCAAATGCCTTATCACATATTGTACATTTATTTGGGCGTTCCCCAGTGTGAATGAGCATATGTTGATTCAAATGACACAAATGTATGAACTTCTTACTACATATTTTACAAATATGATCTCGTTCACCAGTGTGAGTGAGCATATGTCTACTCAAATCATCCAATCGTTTGAATGTCTTATCACATATTGTACATTTGTTAGGACGTTCCTCAGTGTGAATGAGCATATGTCTATTCAAGCCACTCAATTGTGCAAATGCCTTATCACATATTGTACATTTATTAAGACGTTCCCCAGTGTGAATGAGCATATGTCGATTCAAATTACTCAAACGAATGAATGTCTTATCACATATTTCACATTCATGAGGACGTTCCCCAGTGTGAGTTAGCATGTGTTGATTCAAGCCACTTGATTGTGAGAATGTCTTATCACATATTGTACATTTATTAGAGCGTTCACCAGTGTGGACGAGCATATGTCTTTTCAAACTATCCAATCTTAAAATGTCTTATCACATATTGCACATTTATTAGAGCGTTCCCCTGTATGAATGAGCATATGTTGATTCAAATTACACAAATGTATGAACTTCTTATCACATATTCTACAAATATGAGCTCGTTCACCAGTGTGACTGAGCATATGTCTACTCAAATCATCCAATCGTTTGAATGTCTTATCACATATTTCACATTTATTAGGGCGTTCCCCAGTGTGAATGAGCATATGACGATTCAAATGACTCGATCTTATGAATGCTTTATCACATAGTTGACATTTATAAGGTCTCTTTGCAGTATCAGCATGAATATTTTGTTTTTGATTACCAGATTCATTCAAGTGTGAAGTTTGTTCTGTGGCATGAGCACATATGTGTTGATCTAAATGATATTTTGTAGTAAATGCATTATCACACTTTGTACATTTGAAATTTTTTTCATCTGTATGAGATTTGAGATGCACTTCTAATGCACTTGCTTCTGGAAAAGTCTTTGAACAAAATGTACATTCATGTTCATGCACTAACATATGCTGTTTTAAATTGTACATCCCTGTAAATGTCCTATCACACTTGTCACATTTATAAGGAGGCGTCTGAAATAATTCCTGTTGCGCATCTTCTATTTTTACTATGGAATCTGTAAACCTCTTCTGGCATGTTTCTTCATCCTCTGAACAGGATTCAGGGTCTTTTTCAATTTCCTCTTTGATGCCTTCGATTGGATATTCTTGTGGTTCAATTTTAATTATCGTATCATCAGCTGCCTCTGACATTTTGAGATATTTGTGCAATGTGTATGTTCTGTAAGTATTGACAAAAATAGTTGATTACTATTTAATGAGCTACTGCTGAATATGATAATTTAACTAGATGTTGACAGTTCAAGAATGGAGTGTTTTAAATATTTCTCAGGAGCGTATAAATCAATATCTAGACTTTTTCAATGGTTGGGTTTATTTCTAAAGCTAGTTTTATCTTATATTAAATTAACTGTAGTCAGTTTTGGACAATGTATGTCGCCAAGATGAATCCTTCCTCAAATCTATTTAACAGATGTGAAACTATTTGTTCCAAACTTTTGGCTTATTGCAAAGCTGAAATATAAAAAGGTACAATTGAGCTTTAATTATCCATTGCCTACCTATATTTAAAATTAAATATTTATAGTTCTTTCTGTATGAAATAAATATAATAAAAAGTTAATCATGAGAAATAACCTCAAAGTATTTTACACTAACTTTATGTTTATTAATCAATCTAACAAACACTGCTTTAATACACGCTAATAATTTTACTTATGTATTTATATATTCTATTTATTATAACATTTAATCAATAATTATGTTGAATAATTAAATAAATAAAAGATTAAATGTTTCATCAGACCATTAAATAATTTGTTTGACAGTTTGACAGTTGAATGAACTTCGGTAAAAGAACTGAACATGGCTGCGCTCCTATGTCACTGTTGCCAACATAAGAATATATGCGAAATATTATTTCATGTTTGACAACTTTTGGAACCACAATATCAGTTCTGTCAGTTTGCGAAAGAAAGTTTACTACTGTTCTAATGAATTTAAATAAAAAATTGATGTTTTATAATATATTAAACATATATAAATATGTTTAATATATTATTTAATATTTAGGTAGTTCTAATTTGTTATATTTATTTTTCAGCAAATGTTATATAGAAAGATTGTGAAGTTTGTTATTTATAGGTTATACACCGGTAATGTTAGAAGATAAACAAAAATAGTTACAAATAAAAATGACTGATAAATTGTGGAAAACATTTTGTACAGCTTTTCCTATTTTGACTGAAAAGGTAAGAAAAGTAGTCCTTATAATATTACTAATAGTTTATTTAATGTAGTGTTTGTAATTGAATGGAATTTCTTTTACAGCGATCACCTGAATCCATAACAGAAGACGACTTCATAAATTCAGTACAGGAACTTCGCAACTTAAAGATACATCAAATATTCATCCAACACATATTTACACAAATAGAAACCTACATAAGACAACAAGTAGCCCCCTTATTTTGGAGTAAATTCCAAATACAAAACAATGCACAGAATACATCCAACAACTTTCAAGACTCTGTAACATATCTTTATGATTTTGTTAAAAGTTTTCAACCACAGTTGCAAAGACTGGATTATATGAGAAAGTCTTGTGATACTGTGCAGTTAATTTATGGAGAAAGTGACACTTTGGAGGCTTTTTTAGTTATTTTAAGAGCTACACTGTTTTCGCAGAAAGTTCTTGATTATGAAGTTGTGGTACATGATTTTTATGATAAGGCGTTCAAGGTGTTTGCAAACTGCGACACAGGTAGGGAGATAAAACACACACACACATATATATATATATATATATATATATATTTCTTTTTCTTTTAGACGCTGAAGACTCCCTAGACGATATAACATGTCCAGGATGTTCCATGGAGACAGATTCATGTGCCTGTTCTACTATAGTGATGAACTTTCATTATGTAAACAGCTGTCTGATGTCGATGGGGCTTCTTGAAAAGTTAGCAGGACAAGTCATTACAAGTCTTATTCAGGATAGAATAAATTTACATGTTAAAAACACAACTAAAGGCAGTTTCGACTTGTCACACATTAAACCTTTAGAAGAGGTAATAATAATAGATATTTAATATTGAAAGTTTTGTATTCAAAGGATCAGTTATTTATACAAAAATTATTTGAACAATAATAATGAATAAATATATAATATTCATTGCCTTATATTGAACAGTATTGATGCATTTATCTATTTTTCTTATTAATTACATAGTTCTTTTTTTAGTGGTTAGATTGTATAGTCGTAAACTGGTTAATTAAAATTTACTGTGGAGGCTCTGCAGAAATTCCACGAAACAATCTTAAAATTGCAAAGGCTGTAGAAAGATTTAAAAGAAAACTAGGACACTTTTTGTATGAAACTTACACACTTACCAGGATTGAACAGTTGTTTAACATTATTATAGGTAATAAAATAAAATATATATATGTATATATATATATATATATATATATATATATATTTAATATAAAATTTAATAGATCAACCTATCATTTATTTAATTAATGAATTAATGAAGTTTATTAGTAATTTTCATTCGGTTAAACCTACAGTTGTTCATTAATGTAATTGATATTATTTTAGTTATATTATATTGTAATAAAAATAATAATTGTATTGATTATCCATCTATCTAGCTATCCATCTATTTTTTCTAGAGTATCCTGAATCCCAGCCAGCAATTGAAGACCTCAAACAGTGTCTCCCCAAAACAGAATTACGTTCCAAATTAGTATCAACTCTGCAAAATGCTTTGCAGACCAGACTGCTACATCCTGGTGCCAACACTCCAGATATCCTGACGGCTTATATATCTGCAATAAAGGCTTTGAGACATCTGGACCCGAGTGGAGTCTTGCTGGAAACTATTACGGAGCCCGTTAGGCAGTATCTGAGAGGAAGAGATGATACAATAAGGTAAAGGAAAATGGTTTAGAGTTTTGTCTGATGCACATGGGTAAAATTCTATTCTATTTCTGGGTTAAATTCTAAGTTCTATTTTGATAATAGAATTTATAGTGGATAAAGATAAGACAACTTTTCGAAAATGGTTGAAGATAAGACAACTTTTAGCACAAAGTCTCTGAAATATGTAACTTATTGGTTTAAATTTTTTGAATTGTATATATATATATATATATATATATGTATATATAAATGAAAAAGTGAAGAAACTAGTGGCAGTGTACAAAAAATCAAGAATAATCCTAAGATGTGATAGAACTCTAATAAGTAAGTAATATTATCTAAGTATATTGAATTATCTAAGCATTATCAATTTAATTTTATCTCCACACAATTTTTTATTAAAAACCAAATCATATAAATAAGTTTTTAATGTCATTTTGACAAAACTAGTGCCAAATTAAAATATTTTTATTTCATTATTATAGTTTTGCAAACTTAACAAATAAGTTATATATGTAGATATTTAATCAATGAGTTTTTTTATTTCAAGATCAAGTTATTAAAATTTAGTATTTTGTGGCAAGATGGCTAATCGAGGATATTTCTCAGAGCACACACATTATATTCATAGAAATGTCACCGATGAAACTGCTTGTCCGATTAGTCCAAAGAAAAGGCAGTACACATGGCAGGTAAGAATAAAAATAATATGTGTGGTCTAATTGATTTTTCTTGATAATTTTTCATATTTTATTTATATATTAGAGCATACAGAGTTGCTGTAGGACATTGTAATATTTCACTGTATTGTTAAGAATTTAATTTTGAACAAATTTGGTCAACACATCATTTGTAGTGAAATGGTTTAAAAATTATACGAAACATAATATTTTAATTCAAGATGATTACAATTTGTGTAACTTGCAAATGGGTAATTCTACTAAAGTTATTTGCAAGTAATTAGTATTCAAAGAGAAGAACACCAATTTAGTATTTATTTCAATATTATATCAAGACATAATATTTTAATTCAAGATGATTACAATTATCAGCATTTACTAAATGCAGCAACCTGCTAATAGGTAATTCTGTTACAGTTTTTGCATATGAGATATAGTTGAGTATTACTCGAAGAGATGAATACTAATTTACTATTTATTTCAATTTTATATTATTAAGATTTAGATAAGATTCTGTTGCTTTGTAAGATTCTTCTTGAGATTCACTTTAGATTCTGTTGCTTTATATTAGCTAAGTGCTCTTTGCCAATAGAAAATCTTGAATAGAATATAGAGAGAATAGAAAACTAAGAGCATTAGGGAAATACAAATATAAATATACTATCTTATGCGAAAACTTGGTATGCATTGCATCAAGAGAAACGTGCAACTCCTGATTCACTTTAGATTCTGTTACTTTATATTAGCTAAAAGTGCTACTTGCCAATAGAAAATCTTGAATAGAATATAGAGAGAATATAAAACTAAGAGCATTAGGTAAATACAAATATAAATATACTATCTTATGCGAAAACTTGGCATGCATTGCATCAAGAGAAACGTGCAACTCCCAAATAGGCAAATTTCGAACCTAAAACCAATCCCGTTATCTATCATCTATATACTTTTCCCCATAAATCCATCTATTACCTTATCTGTCCTTTCCTCCAGGTTAAAAAGCATCGCCACATCGGCGAGCTGACCCGCCTGAAATACCTGGAGGCCAAAAACGTCCTCTCTCCGGCCGAGAAATGGATCATGTACGGCGAGGACAACGAGATCCTGTTTCCATTAGAGACGGAAAAGCCCGAAGTGTACTGCGAGAAGTCGCTTCCGGCAAAATCTCTGCCCAGGAACGTCCTGATCGAGAGGAAGCGCAGAGAGTACAAGAGTCTGCCGATAGAGACGATCATGTTCGAGGCCGAGATCACCCCTTGGCAGATACTTCCACCAGAGGAGATGCACCGGTTCTTGAGTGCTTACCAGAAATATGCAATTGGTAAGAGGAAAGGATTGATGAGCCCTTATTGGATTTCCATTGTAACAGGACATTGTTTAAATTAGTATATGTTGATTAACTACTTAGTAAACACCTTGTGATTTGAGCGGCGGGGGCGATCTGAAATCCACAAGCGTGCCTGTCACACCCATGTGGAATCTATGTGGATTTCAGATTGCTAACGCCGCTCAGTGTTTACTGGGATTCAATGTTATCTATTTTATTTTGGTCAAGCATATTTTCTTGATGTTGATAGTCTGTCAGTGTTTTGGTAGTTTTGAAACTGTCTAAAAGCTATAACTGTGGTGTTTATGCAAGCACTTATTTAAACTATTGATACTGCCAAACGGCTAAAAACTAACTTTCAAATTGAACCAATATCAAGATAATATTAGTTATACCTCGCATAATATGAGTTACTGGTATTTTATGTAATTTTATGTTATTTTATGCTATTTTATGTAAAATATAAAACAAGTTATTGAGAATTGCTATTATACTTACCATAATATTTTGAACGACATGAGTGTGATTTTAGTGTACTCGAAAATCGGAAATTATCATTAATAATCTAATTATAATAACACTCAGATCCATTCATCAATAGTACTCAACTTTTTTTTTCTCAGACAGACATAATCTCTTATACCAGGGTGCCTGATATAAGAGATTATGAATTGCTTTATACAGTTTGTACTAAGTTTGTTTTTATTACAAGGTCACGAATTCAACGTCCTCCCCCTGGAGCTGTTCGACAATGAGGACTTTGAGTGCATGACTGTGGAAAAGTGGCTCAAGAAGAGCACCGTGAAGGACATCAAGCACACACTACCAGCGAATGCCTTCATACCTGTCAGGGGGCTTTATGAGGCGCGACAGAAGGCCTACAGGAACGCCGATCCGGACATGCTTTACAAATGGACTAGGTGGGATAATATTAATAAAAATGAAAAATAATGGGTGACTGATCTAAGGCAGGTTCATGAGATGAGTTAAACTCCAATTTGATTGAGGGAAGAATGGTGTGAGAGAATTTTCCATTGCCATTTCACACCGCAGTGCCCGAAATGGGCTTATTTGCAATTAGAAACATATTTAAATTCTCGAAAATGTAAATTTTTTATATATCTTTACGTTTCAGAGGTATCTGAACATTTTGGCATACCTAGAAAAAATTGATGTATGTGTGTGCGCGAGTATGTTGTGTGTGTATACAAATTTTCGTCAACGATTTCGAAAACACAGTTTCACCGATTTCAATTATTCAAAAAACATTTGATTCCTATTAATAAGGAGACATGCTGATGAGTTTTCGGCACAGGCAGGTCTGGTCGTTCCAAAGATACGGGGCAAAAAGTGCCAAAAACAGTAACACAGTTTTTAAGAGAACGGAGCGTCTGTTTTTAATAATTCAAAAAACATTTTTCTTGTATTGACAAGATGTAGAACTGACTAAATTTTTGGAAAGGCAGGTCCAGCGGTTATGGACTCTCAATGAAAATAAGTTAAAAGAATGTCATTTGGCGGTCAAAAAATGTTTATATGTACATCAATTATCAGATATTTTATGAAAGTTTTAATAATGTGTACACATTTTGTGTAAATTTTTTTGGGTTCCGTACCAAAATTTTTGATTACGGTACGGAAAGTTCCAGCAATTTGCCTTAAGGCACGATGCTATGCACCCCACTAGTTGATCTATATTTTCAAGTTGAAATGGACATCGCTGCTGCCTGATTGCCAGTGGCTCTCTCGGACCCCACCCACATGAGTCCGCCCGTTAACGATCTTTGCCATCGCAATCTTTGTGGAATAAATAATTTACATATTTGATGCACATATGCTATAGGTGTCTCATTTTTTCATTAAATGAAAATTATCTCATGCAGTTGGAAATTTATAAGTCTTTAAGTGCAACCTGGAGCTTTGGGGAAAACTTACTGTTATTGTAGTTAATTTTTACCAATTTGTTAAAAAAATAAACAATTTTACACTTTTTTTTGCATATTTCGCATATTTTGACACCACTACTGTTTATTACCAAATATTTATTTCACCTTTCTCTGTCTTTTATCACTAATCTTCTATTTCCTCCCCCCAGTGTGGCAGTAGGTGACTTTGATCCCCAGACCCAACGTTGGGCAGTAATCACGCTGGACAAGGAAAAGCAAATTTATAGAGTACCTCGAGTGTATGTCTTATTCAAAGCCGAGAACCCTAAAATCTTTGCAGAACGTTTACGAGATGCCGTAGCCTCTCGAAACAGTGTTCAGAGAGAACTGAAATTTCAGTTGTATGTCGATTGCATGAATTTAGCAGGAGTCATGGACCCTGATAAGAGACTTATGGAGAAGATCGAGAGACTATCGTCTCGTAGAAACGCTTCGATGGCGGAGAGAGAGTCTCAGCAGCAAATGTTAACGGAACTAAGAGTAAGTTAAAGATACAATTATATAAATGATACTTTTATCATGTATCTATTACCTTTTCTAGTTGGATTATCGTAGAAAGCTTGCAGAGATTGAACTGCGTCAAACTGGTTTCCAGAAATACAATCTTGATATCACAGTGCCTCCTTTAGATGAATACAAAATTGTATATAAACGTATAGAGACGTTGATGGAAGGATTTACTGCAAGGAAGGAGTACATGCACTGGATGGGGTTGTATGTGCTGCCGAATACTTTTAATGGATTGTACAGTGTTGCTATCGAGGATGAGAAATTGGCAGCCTATAGCTTGTTTATGACCAATTTTAGGATGAGGGTGTCTTTGACGGAATTTTTAGGTAAGGGTAATAGATATATAGCTTGTTAAGCAAGGCACTAACTTTTTGTAGAGTACAAGTTTAAAATTTTCTTTGCAGCATGAATTTTTATTTTAAAAAATCGTCAACTTTATTATTTGTTATCGAAAAATGACATACATCTGTATAATAGTTTTTTCACTATTTTATACAATTTTTACACTATTCCACATTATTATTTAATTTCATTTCACCATGTTCTATA